TCTTTTAATCTATTTTATAATTGTTTGGTGGCCAAGTGAAGGCATTTTAACCCTGCTAGTAACCGAATAGCCTCAAAGCGGTTCACTATTTCATTTTCACGAACAGTTGCTGCCGTCACTCACTCAGAGGGATGCCTCAGTTTTCACGGTCATCCACACTGACTTGACAGTTTTTTAGGCCTTTTGTCCTCATAATATCTTTGCTTTCTTTGGTGTCAGGAGTTGTGAGCAAGGTAAAGAAGTTTCAATTTTTTCGATGTGCAAGTCGCAAGTATTAATCTGATCCCGTTTCCCTAGCCACACTAGAGGAACTTGCTTTGTAACTGCAATACCGCTTGCAAAAATACCTTCGTGTATCTGTTTAAGTAGTTGGTGTAATTAGGAAAATGCTTGCCTTATGGGTGATGTATGGGAGTCTGTCCAAGCTTTATTCAGCACCTCCTATTGGAGGGGCGACCATCCGTAACCTTCCCGTATTCGCTGCCTTCATTTTCGCCTAATTGTGCAGAGCACGTACATGTTTCATTGTATCCTTCTGAAATGAACAAATAGCACTTCAGGGGCGTCACCAACAACCGCCACCCGCTCAGCAAGTTCCACCATCTCAAAATTTTGGCGGTGAACAAGCGCGTGATGAACAGTAAGTTTATTGGTCGTTTTATCATTTGCAATGCGATTGAACTTTTTACCAGTTCAACAAAGAAAATTTCAGTCACATCAAGGAGCACCTTGATGGAAAAGTTGATCCCACAGCTAACATGACACCTGAACAACTACAGTTCCACTATTTCAATATGCATGATCTCGACAAGAATGGGAAGTTGGATGGCATCGAGCTCATAAAAGCAATCACTCACTTCCATGCCGGTCGGTCTTAACACGTTCTCAGCGTTGTTTCCTTCTGTTTATTGTTTATCACTTGTTAATTATTGCCGGCAGCGTAGTATTAGTTCTGGCTACACCGTACTAATATCAAATTGTTTTCATCCTTGCCTTTTCTCTTACTTCCTTTTCCCCTATCCCTGCTTCTTGTTTTGGTGGATATTCGCTATGTGGGCTCTTAATTCGTTTTTTAAAGAAAATTGGGGCCTTTATTCTTTTTTTTTTCAGAAAATCCCGGTCCTCGGCATCAGGATACTAATCAACCGCCACCTCTACCTAGTGAGGTCGAATTGGAGTCGATGATTGATGCCATATTGAAGTACGTTCATTTTTAAAGATTTTCGTCTGTTCTGAGAGCTGCATTACTGTAAAATACGTTATAGAGATGATGATTTCAATTCTGACGGCTACATCGACTACGGAGAGTTTTCAAAAGCCCAGAAGATGCGCGAGGATCAGGCTAGGGCACAACACCAACAGCAGCAACAACAACAGCAGAATCAGCAGCAACAACAACGATGATCAATTAATTTCTTCGCTGCAAATCAGTCAGATGCCAAGTCAAATATTAATGTGATATCGCAAGACTCCTTTCTGAGTTTTAATTTCAATTTCATTGTTGCTATATTCACTTTGTTACTATTTGGCATTGGGTACGTTTCATGTTGTCTATATCTCGCTAGCTGGCATTACAGGAAATGCGCCTTGTGCCGCCGACAAGCGGTGCAGAAGGCTGGGCCCATGACTACTTAAGAGATCATGAAATCAGCATTCTTTTATTTTGTGTCCATTCCCAGATGATAAGGAATTGTAGTGCTCTTAACGTTCCTCATTGAGAAATGAGAGACACGCTCTCTGCTAATTTTTCTACAGCTAACTTTTTGGACTTTGTGCCAGCGCGATGTAGACAAAATGTCATGTGTTTCATATTTTTGGTGCTTGGGTTTTAAGCATTTTCTCAGTCTCGTCAACTACTAATTTTTCGGTACTCACGGTAGCTATTCCAAGATAAGGTCGCTAATGTTCTAGGCATAATACACTATACTTTTTACTTTCGCATAATTGAAGTCTGTTGAGTTTGTGATAAGAGATGTTCTCTCACCTGTTTTCATGTGATTGTTGTTTTTCTATATTTATTGATGGATGAAAATTTTCTACTTTCACTTTGTGATTTAACATGAAATGGAATAAGATCACTTGCTTTTGCAGGTTCTGAGAGTTTTCCTATGCCGCCGTTCGAAAACAGTAGCGTTATGTTACGTTCGTTTGGTGGATGTGTCGGGAAGGCAGCAGAACATTTCCGATATCCTATCATGGTCTGACTTGCTGGGAGGTCCGCTTACACTGTGTAATTTCCTTTCAGCGTTGGTTTTTCTCCATGGTAAACAAGTTTTTGTACACAAAAGCCCTTTTTTCGGAAAGGATTTCGGGAGGCATTTCTCCTACCTAAAAGAAGGTAACGCTTATGTTCTCTGTAGACCTAAAGCATGTCCCAGGATAAGTTTTGTGTGGTTCTCGCTCACGAATGCGAAAAGGAGGAGAATCTGTTGAAAACGCGGGTTAAGGGCTCACTCACCTTCGTAATCGGCTGTGCTAAGGGAATGAGAGACTAAGCGCGGAGAGGAGAGTATGGAGCGCAACAGATGAGAGGGCGCCAGACAACAGCCTGATAAAGAAAAAAATGCAGCTGCAGCAGCTTACTTTGCAAGGCCCTAGCGCTCTTGTCGGTGATTTCCGTGCACGGGAATGCCACATCTGTGATTGTCCTCTAGGTCTATCCTACAGACCGAAGGGAATCGTTGCAGACTGTTGGGGTTGTTCCTTTTAGGGCTTCACTTTCTGAGGGTTGCGTTGAGCAGGAAAGTCCGGTCACCTTAGGTAATTCTCGCATAGGACGTAGTCCCACAAGGGGGCTGGAGGTATGAGATCCACCAACGTTGAGCATTTCTCAATAGCGGATGGTATTTGAGGGAGACGGATTAGCACGGTCCTGACTTGCAATATATTTTTGGAAAACTGTTATAAATAGTTGAGGATTTTGTACTAGTGTTTTTTGAGAAATTTTCGCGAAGACTACTAATGTACTTTTGGAATTTTTAAGCTTCTATAGTATAAGTTCCCTCTTATCCCATCAACCATTCAACGGACACTTTTTGTGTGTTCTTTCGGCTTTCTTCGCCTTTCCAAAGCTTTGATGTCTGTCGCCAAGCAGCGAGAGAGACCATCACTAGAACTTGAATTCGAGTGCAGTTATCGTGCCAATTGCTTCAGGTAGGTTAGCTGGGAATGGAAGGAGGACCATAGGAAGAGTGAAATGTCTCAATCCTTACGTTCAACTGAGTGACTCTTACCAGAATGTTGGCTCTTAGAGGCAGCGATTACGATAAAGAGGGAGCGCATCGGGAAGCATATGCACCACACGAATCAGTTACTTGGCTGCCAGGGAAGCGAGGTGTGGCGCTTTCACGACGAAAGGTGCGCTGGTTGCTGAGCAGGACTTCGAAAGCACTCCGCCCCAAAAGCGATCCGCCCACTAGTTTAGTTGGTGATTTGGACGAGCTGTTGCCAGCAGCGGCACAACTGGAGCAACTCGATTGGAGCGTGGTTTGGCATGGTGCCACCAAACGCGTTGCGTGAACTCGTTCATACGTCCGCTTTCTGAGCTGTTACCTGTTCATGAGTGAAAACCAACGGCCAAAAAAGGGGCCCCATTTTGCGTTTTTTTGACGGACGGATTTCTCCGCTTTTTTCGCCACTGGCGTACCATTGAGCACCACCACGTCTCCTTAGACCTTCTTGAATCTATTGTAATCACTGCTT